AAGAAATCAGTTTAAAGCTGAATATCTGCTGCATTTTAGGCTGCTATAACATGCACCATAACTAGCTAGATGTGACCAGTAGACAAATATATCTGGGACTGTAGTTAGATGTTAGATAATCACTGCAGGACTGAATGCTGCTGAGATGGCGGAGATCGGATCATGATTATGTGGAGAACCAGGCAGGTTGCTGGCTGTGCAGAGCAAAAGGGGTGCCCAAATGGCCAGCATAGAGCCTAGAGCAGGGTTGGGCAATCTCATTTCACGAGGGCCGGTGTCCCTGCAGGTTTTAGATGTGTCCTCGAACCAACACAGCTGATTTAAATGGCTAAATTAGCTCCCCAACATGTCCTGAAGTTCTCCAGAGGCCTGGTAACAAACTAATCATGTGATTCAGGTGTGTTGACCCAGGGTGAGATCTAAAACCTGCAGGGACACCGGCCCTCGTTGACTGAGATTGCCCACCCCTGGCCTAGAGGGTTTTTGCTCAAAATTACAATGACAACTTTAATAATAAGAACTTTATTTACTTTACTTTACTTTACTTCTAGAAGAAAATACTTCTTTGGATTGCTGTTATCGTTGGAAGATGGGGTCAAAATGAGCCCACTTGGCAGTTGACATGCCAAAACATCAACAGAGCATTCTGGGAATTGTAGTATTAGCAGTACATGCACTGTATAATACTGGCAGGCCAGCTCTAATGGTAATTTTGTATTTCTTTTTTTTTTTTGTATGTCTGTGAAGGTTCTCAGTCACCCAGGTCATCGTAGTCAGTAATTTTGTATGGCTTCGCGGGCCAAATGTAATTAGGCCACATTTGGCCCGCGGGCCAGAATTTGACACCTATGTTCTAGTTGCTCCTGTGCACCACTGCTCACTGTTACCCTCTGTAGTCAGAGGGTGATGGGAATAACGGCGTTAAAAGTAACGCGAGTACACATGAGTGCTGCTGATTGGCTGAGGAATATAGTAGCCATGGTAAACCAATCACATGACCAATTTAAGATGACATAGCAACAAGATGCTTCATCAACCCAAGACAACCCTGAGTCTCCAATTTTGTGTTGAAAGTGTTGACTTCAAACTACACACCAAGTTTCAAATTGTGTTGATAGGCCAAACCAGCACGCAAGCAATGCAGTTTTAATTTAATACAGTATGTCAAATTGGAAAAATAACAGTAAATTCAGACATGTGAGGTTGTGCTGAAAAATTTGACACCTAAACAAGGCAAGGCAAGTTTTTAAAGGGGTAATGTAGCGGTAATATCAAAAGTAGTCAAGAACAGCCAATTATACCCTGGACATCGGAGGGTTAAACAAATTAGTAATTAGTTGCTTTAAGAATATTTTAACTCAATGACTAACTCAGTTAGTTACTTTTTTGAAGAAGTAGCTAGTACCTATGACTAATTAATTACAGGGTTTTTTGCTCCGGTAATATGCTTTATGTTATACACACTTCCTTTAGGCATTGAAAACCTATTTTCATTACAATAGAGATACCCAGTTATCTTTATCGATGAAGCCAGACGATGCTAATCA